CCCTCCTATCTCAAAACAAAGCCTTCAGCCTTTGAAACTGCATCCATTGTAAACAGCTCTGAATATTAACACAGCCCACAGTTCTGTTCACTTTTAAAGACCCCCAGTATTTCAAATTGCAGTCACCCAAGAGAGGGAAAGTCCCCAGTGAGTAAATGCCACTAAGCTCTTTGAAAAGGAGTTGAAAGTTAACTTTGCTCATGAAACTTAAGTCTTTCAACCTATGGGATAAATCAAAGGAATCCCTTTAACTTTTAAACATATAAGAAGAAAAAGGACCCTGGTCCAACCAAGATCGTTTACAGTTATAGGAACTTTCACTTCAGTGAATCCTTTGCCACTTTTCCCTCTGTGGGCAGTGGCACTTATAAAATAACCAGAGGCCATTTTCAACAACCTCTTCCCGACCTGCCTCATCTAACAGATCTTCAGGGTTCAGCAGGTGCACAAAACGGAGCCAGGTGCATTGTAAAGTCACACAAAACCCAACAGCTCTCTCACATTCCAGTCCACCCTGAAAGAGAAGTTGCTGAAAAGACTTTGCACCAAGGAGACACCTCTGTAGAATGGAGGACAGGCCTTTTCATTGTGAGCAGGATGTCTGAGGGTGAGAAAGGTCAGCCAGAGGCCATTCCAATGTGGTCAATAGGGATGCACAGAGAACCCAAGCAAAGTAATTAGCCCAGGAGGGACTGACAGCCTCCGCACAAAGTGGAAACACCGGAGAGTTGGGACATTCACTAGGAACTAGTCCCCTGGAATACCAAGAGGCAAACCCGCAATGAATTTTCTTCATCCTTTTGGATATGTTTCTAAGGGTTAATGCCAATAATGCATTCAAATACCTAAAGATGTGAACTCTAGTAACCAAATATGATTCTGCAAAGAGATGAAAACACTTTTTTTTTTTTTTAAATTGTGGTTGTTACTGTTTTTAAGTGCCATCAAGTCAGTCCCGAGTCACAACAAATGGGTCAACCCTGTTAGGGTTTCCGAGGAGCAGCTGGTGAGCTTAAACTGCCATCCCTGCAGTTCGTCCCTTACAAAAAGGAGCAAGATCATTTCTGACATATCCTAGAAGCAATGAGTGACATTCACTGTGAACCCATACAGAAATCACTCATAATTGTGTCCTGTAGACCTCTGGCCACGTCCCAATTTTGCAGTACTCAAAACTTAGCATTTATGGCCATGGTTTATCAGCAAGACTTAAACAGTGTACCTTCCTATCATGACAACTGATTTCATTTGCTCTGCCAAAAATGATGAAAGAGCACAAGCCACAGACAAGAGGCAAGAAGTATGGCTAAGCTTTCCATACTTGTTGCAAACAAAAGGGCTCGAGGCTCAAGCTCAACATCTCAGAAAGTTGAAAAGGATTTCCACTTCTCAAGCTTTCCTCACGCCATTCTTATTGTTGTTGTAGGAGGGGGTGGTGTTGTATACCAACAAATCAGTTCGAACTCAAAGCTACCCTCTGAGTGGCTTATGGGTTTAAACCACCAACCTTGTGGTCTCCAGTCCAGTGTTTATCCTACAATGCTACACCAAACACCTCTGCCCAATCCCATAAATTGGAAGATATCTGAGGTCTATTTAGCTCTTCTGAAATGACAGAGAGAGAGAGAAACGTGGGCGGAAGGAAAGATCTCAGGATACCCCAAACAATCTATTTCTTAACAAACAAAACCTCACCTTGGATTTTGTAACAATTTGGTCATCTGCCCTGTAAGTCTAATTTGCATTAGAAGGAGGGAAAGTATTTTCCAAACCTTTAGTTCACAAGGCCCTGCACACCTGGGCCTTCCTTCCGGCACAGCTGTACAATTTGAAAGACAAAGACCCTCCTTGCTTCACAACCACATGGGCAATCACAGCTTGTGTTTATTTTCTAACATAATCAGAAGCCAAGGTTAGATTTAAGCCACCTGATTTGGTAACTGCAAACACATACGAAGACATAATAAAGAGAGACCCAAATCAATACACTCATCTAAGTGTGTCTCAGCACCTAGATAACCAAATTTGGTGTCCTTTTGTGAACTTCTTTACTTTGAATATGTCATCTTTCCTCCAAACTGAGGGCAAAAATTAGGGTTTGTTCTTCCTATTGGGCCTTCATGCCTTACCCATCAAAATCCCACCAGGCCATCAACAAATTTCTGCAATTATCAACAGATTTCTGCAACAGTTAAGAGTCAAGGTAAACTGTATTAACAGTTGTTAGATAGCTCTAAAATCATGCTTTCAAAAATAATTTCAAAGAAAGCAAACATCTGAGTTCTAAGAAGTTCAACTTCTTCTAAAGTTCTGGGAAGCTGGCATAAGGCTTGGCAGTGTTTGGTGCTATTTATGAATGTGCTGGCTGGACCATGCCAATCTCAGCTACGTAATGGGATGGGAGTCTCAGTTACTGCTGGACTACTAGAACTCCAAGTTAGAGTGCTGTGTAAATGATCCTCCTCGGGCCACAAGGATTAACACGGTTTTCCCATCCATCAGCTTCATTCCATCTCTTCTATTCATACTGTAGTTACATCCATAGTATTGAGTGTTGCTTTCCGTATGCTAGGCCTAGGAGCAGCTCCAATGTTAGATACACTGTTTACAAAAGGTAAAAAAGTCCCATAAAGCCACAGGTTCCCTATCTCAAATCCACAGGTTGAAACTGTTTGAACTAGACGCCATAAAACCTAGTTCATGAGGTTATAAACTAGCTCAAAGCATTTTCTAGAAACAATGGACTTAGAGATTGGTGAAAATACAGAATATTTTATATTATAGACAGAGACTTTCTCGCTTCAAGTTTTGTGGAAACATAACAAGAAACAAACTATCCTTATGTAAATTCAGAATAAAATAATTTAATCTGAGAAATGTTAAGTAAAAAGGGAAAATATCCTGATTTTTATCAGAAAATTACTTAACATTTTTCAAAAGGTATCTAACCATTATTGCGCTAAATACTATGTTGCTACATACAAAAGGGCTTCAAGAAAATGGAAAAATGAAATTGAAAGATAACAGAATTTTCCAACAACCTTTTCGGAGCCCACCTCTATCCCCCCCCCCCCATACTAAACAGAAGCTACAGCTTAGCATCTAATTGGTTAACACCATCATCAGAAAGATACCATCTACCAAGCTCAAAGTTCTTAGTTTGATATTTACCATAAAAGGTGTCAGGAAAAGTGTAAAGACTGCAATCTTAAAGGTATTCAGGCCTCATGAAATGTCAATCCTAGGCAACAAAAAGTCTAAACAGCAACCAGTAGGGTTTGCTCCAAAAAATGAAAACGAGCAAGGCAAAGTGATCATATAAAACCTCAGAGGACACCATGTCCTCTCCTGGAAGTCAAGCTTCTGAACTAAGTAAGAGCTTTCCCCACAGTGGTACTGACACATGCTAGCAGGTGAGTATGTAACAAAGTAGTCTCATTCTGCCCACGTGAATTCAATTTAAGAAAAAGCCACTTCAAAACCGTATATATAAAGGCAAAACCAGAGTATCCCAGACCATCTCAACTAAATGCTACTTAATGTCTATGCTAGACCCCCCTCTCCAGTATTTCAAACAGCCAATGTCTTTCCTACAATCCAAACGATGAACACCTGTTTTCAGTCATCAGTCAATTCCACACAAGCAACAGAATACTGAAGAAAAACCCTAACTGACACCAAACGCCCTGAAAAACTTCTGAATGTTGCACTAGTAGTAGTTGATCGTTATCAATGACAGAATCCACTCCACAGTGTCTTGTTTGGTTTTTGGTATTTTAGCGTGGTCTAAGTTAAAGATCTGGGTTCCTATTTTCACAAAACCTTTTCTTCTGATGATGATGACCACAGGTGTCAGTTAAAACTTGCGTCACCAGTGCTGTTTCTTAAACACTAAATGCCATGCCTATGGTTACGGCTCTGCCTCCTTTACGAACCAGAAAAAATGCCCAATTCTTCAATGAAAAGCCAGGGTTTTTTTGGAAGGTATGAATAGTTCTGCAGAGATGTTAATTACTGATAACTGGGCAGGGTTTAACTCATGGATTAGATTTTCATGAGTAAAAGAAGACTATTATATTTTATCATGCTTAAAGTAGTCTAATGCATTTTTTCCCTTGCTATATCTCCTATGAGAAATGCTCCAAGAAATCCTGAAAGACTAACGTCACTAATGGTCATCGTGTATTAAGAGCCAGGTAAAGCCAAAATCGTGACAGCAAAGAAGTGAACCTTCTTCAGGGGAAATGGTGAAATGAAACAAACTCGGCAGCTACCAACCAATCCCTGGCGCTCTCTATGGAAGCAACACTACTCCAAAACTAATCTACACAGAAGAAACAGTAGAGGGTGGGCACCACCCCACCCCAGCCCACCCCACCCCACCCCACTGGACCAAGGCCAATGGGACCCTAGGGAACAGAAAGGAAGGGTCTGGGACAGTTTCCTCAAATGCCCACCAGGAGGAAAAGGACAAACATCCAGGAGTCTCCCGGAACCGGAGAAGGCTGCCTTCTACCTCGGAGAGCCCAATCAGATCAGCAAGTACCAGAGAAGGGTTCGCACTAATATCAATAACGTAAATGGAAGATTGAAGCCAACAGACCCTCATTCATTACCCACTGGACGACGAAGGATCTCAAACACCCAAGAGCTGGGTTACAGAAAAGAAAAAAAAAAGCGCATACCCGAAAACAGTCACCCTCATCTGCACAGACTCCCCTACTCTCTCTCCCTTCCAGGGGTTCCCCACCCTCACACACCAGCACACACACACTCATCCAGACTCCACTCCTCCACTCACTCACACCCAAGAGCCACGCTCGCTCACTTCCAGACCCCTGACCTCCAGACTCGGACGAAGCACACTCTCTGGGACCACGCCAATCTTTCCCCAAGCCCACCCAGAAGCCCAGCAGCACGGCCTCCCCGGGTAGAAGTCCCGCCACAGGCCCCGGGAGACAGCGCAACGGGGCGCAGAGGGCAGAAAGGGCGACACTCACAGGCTCCGAGTCCAGGCGGGCAGGTCTCCGGGCAGCGTCGTCAGCCCGCGCCCGCCGCAATCCACCGAGTCCCCAGCGCAAGTGCAGGCGGCGGGACAGGGCGCCCGAGTGCCGGTCACGGCCCTCGCCGGCTCCGGCCGAAGTAGCAGCAGCAGCGACATGAGCAGAAGACAGGGCGAACGGCGCGGGGCCCCGAGCGCTCCCCAGGCCGGCCGCGCCATCTTGTCTGGAGCGCGCCGCGAACTCCGGGCGCGGGGGCTGCGAGGTCCCGGGCGGTGGCGGGCGGGCAGCCCGCAGGGGGCTCCGCTCGAGACTAGGCTCCGCGCCGAGCCATAGCCGCAGGCACAAGTTCTCCCCGCGGCAGCTCCGACGTTCGTTAGCGCCCAGCAGGGGCCGGGAGCCCCGCGCCCATCCGGGCCGTCCGCCCGCGCTGGCCAAGTGCCCCAGGAACCCAGGCGAGGAATGCGAGGCCGGCACTCTTGGTCTACTCGCCGGTCCTAGAGGTCCCGAGCACGCCAAGTGCCGCCGCTGGTCGCTAGCAAAGCGTTCAGCCTCGAAACCCGAGCTCGGCGCCCGTGGGCATCTCCTCTCCGCTAGGCGCGCAAAGCTGCAGGCCCCGGGCTGGACCGCGCGGCTCCCCGCGGCTCGGTGAGTCCCGTGCGCCTTCGGCTGTCTCAGAGGCGCGGACAGAGCGCGCGCGCGCAGTCCGGGCCCCCGTAGGACTCCTCCGTGCAGCGCGAGCACCGGCAACCTCGCGGCCGGAACAATCAGCCGCTTGCTGTGAGCTTCCCAGCTGCCCTGCCCCGGCCGGTCCCCCAGGCCCCGCCCCCGGCCGTTCGCTCGCACACACCCCCCTGGGCTTAACGCCCCGCCGCCGCCCGCCGGCCCACGTTGGAAGCTTTGCAGCAGGGCCCTACCACGCCCCCACCTTCTGCTCATTGGCTGCCGGAGTTCATGGCTGCCAACCTCGAGAACCATTGGAGCGCTCAACAAGATCCCACCCCTCCCGCCTCGCCACTCACCCCGCCCCCACTCTATTTTCCCACCCAAGGTGTGAAGGGCGGGGGACAGGGAGGAAACAGAGGGCGGGACCTTCCCCCCCCCGCCCCTTAAAGGGGACGAGAAGGCTTTTTGGTAAAGTAGGTGGAAGCAGTGGGAGTGGGGGAAGGGAAGAAAGGCTGTAACCTAGGTCCTCTAGACTTAGGCAAGAAAAGACGGGTGTTCACGTGGGTAACACCCCGCTTTAAGCTGGCTGTCCTAGAGTTTTCTTCCTTCTTCCCCATGGTGCCTTCTAAGAGCAAAATGACCAAGATACTATTTTCAAAGTCACATGCTTCCTGCTGAATTGGAGCATCCTTAGCTATTTCATCCCTGCTCAACCTGGAGCTTATTTCTGCTCCTGACATGTTCTTGACTCCTTAAATTTAGCGTATAGCCTTGATTAATGAAACTACCAGTCACTCCTCGGAAACCCTATACAGGGTCACTATGAGTCGGTACTTCAGAGTTATGGTGTTGGAGGAGAACACTGAAAATGCCATGGGCTGCCAAAAGAACCAATAGATCCGTTTTGGAAGAAATGCAGCCAAAGTGCTCCTTGGAGGTCAAGATGACCAAACTTCATCTCTCATACTTTGGACATATTGTCAGGAAGGACCAGTCACTGGAGAAGGATATCATGTTTGGTAAGATGGAGGGTCAGAGGAGAGGAAGACCCCCAGCGAGATGGATTAGTCAAATGGCAGCATGGATGGACTGAAGCGTGGCAACAGTTCAGGCAGTAAGTTTCATTCTGCTGTGCATAAGGTCGGCCGACTCGATGGCACCTAACAACAATGAGTCGGAATTGGCTTAACAACACTAAAAAACAATGAAGTGAATAAAGTGAGTGTGCGCAGATATCTCAAAAGTACACCCTCCCTAGTTAGTTGAAGGGTACTCTGGAAATTGTTCCAACCTTAGGTTTTTTTAAGTCTCTTTAAGTCAATATTCAAGAACCATCAACCAAATGTCACCCACTGCCCTGCGTTCATTGGGACTCATGTTGTTAAGTGCTGTCGAGTCGGTTCCGACCCATAGCGACCCTGTATAGCGTTTCCGAGGCTGTAAATCTTTACAGGAGCAGAAAGCCTCATCTTTCTCCTGCAGAGCAGCTGGTAGTTCCAGCTGCTGACTTTGCGGTTCGTAGCCCGATTCGTAATCACGACGCTACCAGAGCTCCTTATAGACTCATATTAGAATTGTCTCCTTAAGATTTCTTAGATTAGAAATTGTCTCCTTAAGATTTCTAAGACCATAAACTTTTCTTTCTCCCAGAGAGTGGGAGGAGCTAAGCTCTTAATTAATGAGTTACCAGGGCTTCCTCAAGAAGCCATGTCGTTGTTTAGTGCCATAGAGTCCATTCTGACTTATCGCGAACCTGTATAGGATTTCCAAGGAGAGGCTGGTGGGTTTGAACCACCAACCCTGTTTTTGGCAGTTCAGTGCTTATCCTACAGCACCAAAGCATGTTGTTGTTGTTGTTGTTGTTGTTGTTGCTGTTATTAAGCACCGTCAAATCGATTCTGACTCATAGTTACCCGGCACAGGGTTTCCAAGGAGCACACAGATCTTGCAGTTCAAACCAACCTTGTGTTCCTGTGCTTATCCTACAGTGCCACTTCCATAGAGTACACCTAATAGAAACAGTAAAAGGAGAAATTTTCATAGCTTTAAAGGTTTCTAACTTTTGTTCTTACAGGTCAGAGCATAGTAGCCATGTGTTTAAGAAGAAGGCAGGCCCTCGCGCGCGCACACACACGCACACACAAAGATTAACACTATAATATATAGCTACTCCTCTGGCATTTTGGTTTGCTGGAGTCTCATATCCCTTCCCAAGAGTATGTTCATTTGCAACATAACTGTACACGTTGTCAAGAAAATTGAGCAGGGTAACTCTGTTGAAAACCATTTGCTCCAGCAAATTCAATATGCCTATGTTTTTATGCTCCTTGGAGGCAAAGATGGCTAGGTTTTGTCTCTCATACTTTGGACACGTTGTCCAGAGAGAACAGTCGCTGGAGAAGGATGTCATGCTGGGTAAGGTGGAGGGTCAGAGAAAAAGAGGAAGATCCCCAACGAGATGGATCAGCCAGGTGACATCACATTGATGGCGTCAAGTGTGGTGGCAGTAGTGAAGTTTGCCCAGGATCAGACATTGTTTCGTTCTGCTGTGCCTGGGGTCGCTATGAGTCGGTTCCGACTCGATGGCACCTGACAACAACAACAACAACATGTTTTATAAGTCCTGGTGTGGTGCTGTAGGTTAATGCACTGGGCTCCAAAGTCCGTTTGAACCACAAGGTCCGTGGTTCAAGCTCACCAGCTGCTCCTTAGAAACCCTTTACAGGATCACTATCAGCCAGAAACAATTCAATAGCATATAGCAACAACAACAAAGATATTTTATAGAGTCCTGGTGTAGCACTGTGGGATAATGCACTGTAACATAAGGTCGGTTTGAACTCACCATCTGCTCCTTTGAAACCCTATACAGGGTCGCTAAGAGTCAGAACCAACTATGAGTTGGAACTGACTCGACAACGCTTCACAATAACAACATGTTTTATAAGGACTCCTAGTGTGACACTGTAGGATCAGTACTGGACTGTGAAACAGAAGGTCAGCAGTTCAAACACACTGGCTGCTCCTCAGAAACCCTATACAGGGCTGCTAAAGTGAAGGGAAGATG